CAACGTACTATTCACGACGCTGTTGCGAGCTCGACCATATTCCATAATGACTCGTCTAGTGCCGCCGTTAACCCATGCAGCCGCCCTTAAGAAAATTACGATTCGAAATTATGTACACGAAATCACAGTCAGCAGCGTGTTAACGGGTAGGATAGAAGTGTACTACGCGAGAGCGATAAGTTTACCAACTGCTAATATCTACATTGTGTGTATATTAAACACCATGTTATTACTTATGTTTAAATTTTATAATTATCAATCATACCTTGCGTGTGAATCGAAAAAATTACCAAATGTGCCAGAATACAATCAGCGCTAGAACAAGTTATGTTGATTCTTATCGCCTTGTAAACACGCGGCGGTAGTAGACTGCGGCTTCTTCGCGGCATTTACGAACGAAATAATATGTATTATAGTTATACAGTCGTACAAGAAAAACTATAATCTTATATTTTTTATTTTATGTTGATCCTCGAAAATTTACCGCCCCGGGGTAATCGACCCCCTTGCCCCCCCCCCCCCCGTCGCGCAAACACGCCGACACGTCCTTGCGAATCATTATCCCGTTGCCGTTGCGCGCGGACCATTTTCCCCTCCACGCAAGCACATGACCAATCTTATCCGGGTCTGCCGAGCACCGGTTGCGATTCTCGGCCCTCGCGAACACCGTTTCCATCTGATCCCGCCGATATTTCCTTCCAGCCAGTCCCCGCGAACACTGACCACGGACCGTGAAAATACGAGTAATGTTTGTTCGTTCAGTATTTTTTTTCTCTCTCTTTCGAACATCGCACGCATTTCCTTCCGCCCTAAATCCCACTATCGAGTCACCGGAGTAGCACTGCAGAGGGTTCTGGTCGTCACTCGGCGTAATAATAACGTTCACGGGTCTCGACCGAACTCTTCGGTGATTTCGACCGGAATGACGAACGAGCGTGCACAGCGAATTGTTCGTTCGATTTGCGCCGAAATGATGTGGGATAAAGAGCGAATTATTACGCGCAGATCTCGGTGTGGAACACGAGAGCACGCCTGGTCGACCACACGACGTGTACAACTACTGATGTTTACCTCCTTGTCCGTCGGATTAGGAATTTGAACGGATAACACGCGAAATATTCTCGGCCACCAGCGAGCTCGATTCAACGTGCACGCACAAGTCCTTGTTTTGAATTCTCGGTGAGCACGCGCGAAACTATAAATTCGGTCCGCAAGTACCGTAAATTACTGTACGCACCAACCGCGTACCGGTATTGAGGACAGATCGCAAAACGGTAGTCCCTGATTTGCGCTGGGTCGTCGCTCTAATATAGCTTCGGGTCCATACACAGACTAATTGTCGTCAAAAGATATTGAGCTTAGCTCTGGACCGACGGCGACATATTTAAAACGTTTATCTTGTTGTTTGAGGAGATGTCGATTCTTGTCACCGGTCACGTAGACAGTGGTCTAGTAATTTACCGAGTAATTTAGTTATTTGTATCTTTTATCTCTTGTACAAAAACGTTTTTTTTTTTTTTTACCTGCGCTCATGCCGACAGCTATTCATTAATTGCATCAATAGTATACTAGAAGCCATAATATCTTGTACACAATATGCATGTTGTTGATGAGCACCTCGTTATAGATTAAAATAACTCGTTTTGTCGTCAAAGTTGTATGCAGTAACCGGCCTTGAATTCATCACGCACAATATTTTATGGTCGGGCAGCGATGATACCCTTCACAACTTTTTCTTTAATACAATTACTAATCCGTTGTCTACTTAAATTATTTTTCGTCACACGTTGTATATTCCAATTTAAAAACGTTAGAAAAATTTACCGTATTAAATACAAACGCTAAAAGAAGTCTAGGACTCAATTCAATGTCGTTCAAATATACTATCGGGCGAAAGAGCCTAACCTAACCTAGGAAACCCGGCAGATTAATGAATTTCGGTTCTTTTTTTTTTTTTTTATGTCATCTAATCGGTGACAAACAAGAGCGAACGAAGATCAGACCGACAACGAATCGCCTCGAACCGTCCCTGACGCTAAATCATATTTCGTCTACAATTTCAACCGAGCAGACTATAATAATATTGGCAACATTGAGAAAAAGTCACAAGAATAACACCCATCCATACATCTAATAAAACAAAAATCCAGCCAAGTATGACCGTAAAATCCTGTAATCGTCTCAGTTAATTCTTTAAATTGTTATAACAGAACAGTCATATTCGACCGAAGGAATTACATACCGAACCCAATGAACACGTGGTGGAAAGTATACTAAATCCACGTGTTTCAACAAGTTTCCTATAATAGACCTGCGATTTTTGTCATCCTAATTAAACGACGATAATTTTTCAAAGGATTGTGAAGTTCTATGGGTTCTTCGTACTGTGTCGACCCCGGTGTCTTAGGCAGGGACGTATTTAGGAGGAGGGTGTAATATGGGTGTTAGAAACCCCCCCCCCATCGACCATATTCTATGGTATTTCATTAAATTATAAACTTACAGTATGATTTCAATAAACGTTGTATACAACTAGTCGATTTTAAATACACTGACTTAATATAATAATTTTCATTAGTATAATAATTTATATAAATACATGGTATTTATTTATGTAATATAGTACCACTTACCATGAGTCTTTTAAATTTTAAAACACCCCCGTTAAATGAATCTTGAATACGCCACTGGTCTTAGGTATATCTCTCTCTGAACCGATCGCGTGTACCCGTAGTGCAATTTTTCACGAGTGGAGGGTTCAAGGTTTTGATTTCACGCGCTTAGGGTCCATTTTTTATAATTATGCGAAAACATAAAATTCAACGTGGTTGGTGAGGTAGATGAGGGGCGAGGTTCCAGACCCCAAGGAACTCCCACCCTCTTATAAATACGTCACTCCCGTGTACCTATATCATACAATAATAGATAACACGAACAACACTGGTGTTATAATAGAAAAATATGACACGAATTTCAGAGCAAATGTCAGCGATTTCCGCTACACCCTGTGTATAATTTATTTATGCGGATTATCGAAACGTAATTTATGGTGCAATAAATTAAATCCGATCGGACATGGTCGTAGAACAAAAGAAACATGGAAAAAATAAAAGTTACGACGAAAAATTAAATAAATACACCGATATTATAGCACAGACTACAATACGACGATTTTATATATGGCCCGGGATAAAATATTTAAGACGTGTCGACGTTATGCTACATGCATGGGCATCCATAAGTAACATTTTATGGGAAGGATGACAGGGATCGTGGACTCTTACGTTTTTTTCATACCCCATTATTATATAACATTTTCACGAGAAAAAATAGCATAAGCTTGCTTCTCTTCGTTCTTTTCGATCGAACTTCAAGAACTTATATAAATAATCAACTACATAGATTTCGCAATATTGAATATTTAATAAACTATCGTGGAATCCGGAATAACTCCGGTTAGGTACATTTTAGGGTCCTCCGAATGTGTTTTAAAATTAATTCATCTTGATGATTTGAGTTTTCGGCGATCATAAAATAAAAATTTGTTTCATTTTTTAATAACTCCTTCACCACAACGCACTTACCACGACTGGCGATACTGATGTTACGAAATGATTGCTATTCATATTTATAAGCAATTTATTCTAATTCACGTCAACACTCATTAACGACAAACATTTAAATTACCATAAGAATTATTTACCAAAAAAGTTACAGGAAGAGAAACGAAACCACTTAAATTGTAAATAATACACGTACAAATGATTTTTCGAGTCGAGGAATAAGAAATATTCTGTGTGAAAAATCATCGGCTAATAAGACTTGCGTGTCATTTTAAAAAATTAAAACAAACGAAACATGATAACAACGGTGTTTTTGATACTTGCAACCGATGGTTTTTTTCTATCGAAACCTACCGTAAATATTTACACATCGATAATAGAGGTACTTATCCCGAGCAAGAACTTTTATTTTCAAATCTTACATTTTTATTGATATAATTTGTAACATTTAATAATTTTGAACCATTTATTTAATAATATTGTACAAAGCAATTGTAAATTTCCGTTCCTTTCATAGATCTTTTCTTTCCGTGTTACGATTTTATGTACATTTACTGTCGTCAGGGGCGGACTGGCCTGGTGGGACACCGGGACAAATCCTAGTGGCCCGTTACAATAATAGATTAAATGGCCTGATAATATTTTAGAAATTAAAAATATAGTATTACGATATTTTAATCGACAGAATTGGGGAATCTAGTGAAGTTATGAAAAAAACCTAATTATGTAAAAAAAAGAATTTCTTTTAGAGTTAATTTTAATATATATATATATGTATTATATTAAAATGTGTACACTGTATCTATAAAAAA